TTACTTAATATTAGTTACAGGGTGGGAAATCCATACAGCTATTTTGATTGTAAATATCTTTCCTTCCAGAAGAAAAGAATGGCCCTGTTCAGTGGAAATTAGCAAAAGAAAACAGGTTCCCATATCTAAAACAATATATAAGTTGGGAATAGACTTCTTTCCCAAAGAGGCCATCATTGTTGAGTATGTGCACCCTCAGCTAGAAAAGGCATCTCAGCTGATGTTTTCTACATTCCTTTAGCAGACTCAAGCCTTCTTTAAAGCCTTACCCTGTCATTTGTCAGAAATGAAATACAAATAATTCAGCTCTTACAATCAATACTTTAAAAAAAACAACAAAACCAAAAAAAAATCAGATCTTACTGACAAGTCCCTAATATATCATGTGGATTCCACTGAATTCCACTGGACAGGGCTATTTTCCAAATTGTCAATATAGACAACATATTAAGATGTTTACAGCATTTTTTTTTTCTAATGAAGATATTACATGCCTCTGGAATATTTAATTCCCCTACACAATATTTTTGTTAGCTGCTAAAGATAAAATACGAGGGGTAAAAGAGTCAGCTTTTTAGCCTGCATTATGTCAAAATCTTTTTTTTAAACCGGTATAAATTCAAGCAAGCTCAACCTTCAGTTTCTTGAAGATGCATTTTTTATTTGTCATATTATGTCATTTTTTCTGCATTGAGAAACTTGGATTAAATATTAGTAAATCAGGAATTTAGCAAATCACACACATGCACACAAATACACACACACAAACACACAGAAAAAAAATTGCCCAGCTAAACTTAAAATTAAAATAAGCAATTAACCTAGACTTGTGTTTGCCCTACTACTAAAAGAAAAAATTAACCTGCTGCCCTGTAGGTTTTAATGTTGTCTTTATCTCCCAAGAAGCAATGAGTAGTAAAACTTGGTGGAAAATGTTTTTTCTAGTTTTATGAGTATTTCTAAGATCATGAAAATTTTCCCACCCTGGACTGGATGAAAAATCGTAATTGAAAAAAAAAAGAAAAGAAAAATCCATGGGTTAAGGATCCAAAAATACTTGGATTAGCTCAATCAATAAAACTAAACATCATTTCAACTTTTCCTTCAGAAATATTATTACGCTTCTTTAGTATAAAGTAGCTAAAATTTAAAATGAGAATTTCTTTTCAAATAAAAAAATAAAAGCCTTTCATTTTACAAATTACAATTTCAGAATGTTTTAAGTTTCAGAACTGCTTCAACTTTTTTTCAAAATTAGGAAAATTTATTTTCCTAAATTAAGCTGCTTTTTTTTTTTTTTTAAACATTTGGTTTAAAAAAAAATCTGTCTTTTCATTAGAAAAATGCTATGTTGGATAATTCCTGATCAGCTCCATTGTATGGTATTGCTTTGGATTATAGTTAGCTAAGTGGAAATATTACAAAGATCCAAAAGGCACTGACATATGTGTATTTTCTTAAGTAAGCATCATTGAAAAACTTGATGGTGAAACCAATCATGTGGATGTCATCTTTTGTTTATAAATTTAGCAAAATGGCACCAGTGAAGCCTCACCTGATTTAGCTGATGTTGCCACCTCTTGGAGTAACAAATGTATAGAAAAATTGAGGTAAACATTAAAAAAAAAAAAAACTAAGAAAAACTTCAGTGAATTAGGGATATATTAAGAACTCATTAGGTTTTTCACTGCTTTTTTCACCAAACCTAGATTTACTCCAATTTAAACTCTTTTGTATTTAAGCTTGTGGCCTACTTTTATATTGTACGTTACCTGGACCGATTCCAAACAGCAGCGGGAATCAGACATCAGTAAGTGAAGAACTTAAAATAAATATTTAATTCTCTAAAAACGTATTCAATTTTTCATAGAACATACCCAGAGAATGCTGAAAAAGTTGCTCCTATTTAGTTTAGTTGCTCCTATTTAGTTTAGTAGATATACCAACAGCTGTAGATAATTTGGGTCCAGAACCTTTCCATTTTCAAAAAACTGTCTTGAGGCAAACTCAACAAGGAAACCTATCCATCTGTCAGAAACATTGGTACCTTTTCTATAGGATTCTGATACCATCCAGAAACTTAGCAGATGTTCTACCTGAGAATGAAATAATTGCTTGTCAGGTTCTTCAGTCACTTCTCTCCTTTCTATCTGTTTACTCAACTGAGTGTTCAGAACAAGGATTAACAATAAAAAAATTTAAGTTCCGTTCCTCACTCAGCTAATGGCCAGCTATCTAATTTGGGTAAAGCTAATTAATGACTAGATCCCAAAAAGGGGGCTTAGGCACTTAAGTTGCTCTTTAGGCGAAACGTCCACAGAAGTCAGTTTTCAGCAGAAACTTAGGTCTTGTAGAATTTCTTGTAGCATGCATGATGGGCGTGCTTATCCAGTTACTGCAAGAGAAATTCTATGAGACCTAAGTTTCTGCTGAAACCTGATTCTATGTCTACAACTGCATGTTTGGGAATACCACCATCTTTGCTCACCTGAGCATGCATGTGCTTAAGCTGTTTGGGATTGACAGGCAGCCCTGAGACTCTAAGAGCCCATCAGTAGGTGCAATGCTGGAGGCTGTTGAGTATTTCCTAGGAAATGGGAGAGGCTCCTGGCTTTCAGGGATACATATTTTTTAGCCAATGACCCTTAACATGAACTGATCTAGCAGCAGGGGCCAGAACCTTGGACTCCTGCCATCTAGGCGAGTGCCTCTTTACCATGCTAATGAGGTCAGCACCCCCTTCCCCCACCCATCAAGCAAACAGTACTGTGGCTTTATACTGAGCTTGCTACATGCCCTCTGAATGGTCTTGATGGCAGTGCCTCCTTTGTCAGAAACTTAACCTCCCAGCTCACTTGAGTTTGTGTAGATTCTAGTATCTACAGTCTCCCTGCAACTAGTTCTGGTTCCTTTCCTGCT